TCTCAAACGTGTTGATTTTATTCCTATCATCCTTCTTAACTGTCCAGCTCTCACATAGGGAATACAATGGCTTATATGATTCTAACTTTTGTGCTGAGTTGTATATCTTGGAATTTTAGAATCTTTTCTAATTCTTTCATGGTTGCCCTCCCTATTCTTAATCTTCTTCTAATTTCCTGACTGCATTCCCCATTTCTATCAATGTTTGATCCCAGGTATGGGAATTCTTTTACTATTTCTATTTCTTTATTGTCTAGGTTGAACTTGTGAAGGTCCTCGCTGATCATTATTTTTGTTTTCTTTATGTTCAACATTAAGCCTGCCTTAAAAAGGTAAAGGTATTCCCTGTTGACAAGGCTGTCAAGTCATGCTTAGCTGCATTACATTTGGGGTTTCCATATTTTCATATCTGGGGCCAGGCAGGCTCTTAAGAGGTCATGAGGACCTTTGGAACACTAGGCAAATTTCCCACAAGAACAACATGGAGACCTGAAGACATGTGGAGGGCCCAGGTAATAGCAAGATAAAAACTGAATGGTTGTGCTGATCTCTCCATCCTCTCCAAGGGTCTTGCATATCCTCTTATACTTGAAACAAAAGGTGAAGGCAGTAAGCCAATGCTTCCTATCTACCCCATGCCATGTTCCCAGACAATATTTCTATTCATCTACTCTGGGGTTGTTCTAAATCCAATCACTGTTTTGGTTATTCTAGAATTAAAGTAATCAGTCATTCTGGAATCCCATTATTGATTCTTGGGAAGCCTGTCAGGTCTTTATGGCAGTGCAAGATAGCACTGAGGTTAGGACCTCAGACATAAATATCAGTCCCAAAACTTAACTTCCTCGAGCACAGAAGATACAGTGTGGCCAGAGAGAGCCTACTACTCATTGTGTCTGCCTCAGACTATGTCCAAGTTTCCATAGTCACCTCTCCAGGACAGGTAAATATTACCCCCTCTACACCCCTAAAATTCCACTATCCAGTTTCCATACATCTATTTTGGTTAGTTCTGGATGGTGTGTCCATTTGAATTTTTATTGTGTGTTTGATTGCACACTTGCATATTTTTAAACAAAAGTATTATTATCCACCTAACTCGGCATCCTCCTCAGTTAGTACTGATATAGACAAGTGGAAACAATCCTCAAGTTACCCAGCCTCTTGCAAGTTTCTTTGAGCTAAGCAAATTACCCCATTATTTAAAGTAGAAGCTAACACAGTTGGTGGGGACCCACCCACGCCAGATCCCCTACCTTTTTGGGTAACAAATATTTGAACTTGGGTCTTTCTGGTCCAAGTCCAGCACTTTAAATATTACTCTACAGCAGGGGTAAGCAACTTTCCCCTTTAAGGGCCGAGGGACTTCAGCTCCCAGAAGCCTCAGCCATGTTGGCCAATAGTCCCATGTTGGCCAACAGCTCCTGGGATTCTGGGAGCTGAAGTCCCTCGGCCCTTAAAGGGGAAAGGTTGCCTACCCCTGCTCTACAGGTTCTCTCAGGTCAGTTGTTAACTGTAAAAAAGGATATGAAACTGGAAACATAGTAGGAGAAAAAAAGCAATAATTCATGTGTCTGATCTCCATAATTAGAATGCAAATTAGAGTAATGTGCATAATATTTTAGAATTATTTAGATTAGAATTATACAAATTAGAAATATTAAATTAGAATAATGTGCATGATATGCAAATTAGATGGATGGGATTGATGAGTGGAATATGGCAACCCTACTTACATCTAAATTAAGAAGTAGGCCAAGTAATAAAATCAAAGAGGAACTAGTTTTATAAGAGCTTTTTACTTGAACAGTGGCCCCTTAGGACACACAAAAACTGCTCAGGGAGTAGAGGAAAGTTCCAAAAGCAGTTTGTGGTGCAGCATGCCACTCAAAGAAATGAAACAATTATACATTCCAGCAGGAGAGTGGAAACCCCTGGGCTATTTTGAATCCATCCACAATTTCTACTATTTCAGACACCTATCCCAGAAATGAAATAGATGTGTTTAGGAAAGACCTTCCTCAGAGGTGAGGCTGGGATCAGTTTATGAAAGGCCTTCCTTGACAACTTTGAAATTAACAGAGTCCTAATGCAATTGATTGTTTGGCTTAAATTACAGAAGGGAGACTCCCTTTCATTTCCCCCACAGCCAGGGAAAATTAACACCAATGCTCATGGGCAGTGAGAAATTGCAAGGTCATCTAAATGAATGGCACAGAGCATTGAACTTTAATTATCATTGCTATTTTTATTTTAAAAAATCTCATGAAAGAATATTCTTAAGCAAATGAACTTTGCTATTCTTAGTGACAAGGGCAGAAAAGAAGGGGCTAGATGTGCAGTCCTGGGAAGGCAAAAGGCCCAGTCCACAAGTCAGTATTCCTATAGAGCAATCTGCAATCATTTCATTAGGCCCTAATGATTAGAAGTTGTATGGGAGTCTTTCTGAGACCACACTCTAGCAAGTTGGCATTACTTATGTACAACATTTTCGTCGGGTTGTTGGGTCATTTCACAGCCTTCCTAACCTAGCACCTTCCAGATAAGTTGAATGACATTTCCCATCAGTCCTAGCAAGCTGAGAATGATGGGAATTGTGGCCCAATGCATCTGGTGGGTGCAAGCTTGAAGAAGTAATTTTTGGAGTTAGATATAGATGCATAGGCTGCATCCACACTTCAGAAATAATTCCCCTTGACTCAGCTTTAACTGTCATGGCTCAATGCTATGGAATTCTGGGAATTGTTGTTTTGTGAGACATTTAGCTTTCTCTGTCAGAGAGCTCTGGTGCCACAACAAACTACAAATCCCAAGATTTGATAGCATTGAGCCAACAATGTTGTGTCAAACTGGATTATTTCTGCAGTGATGACACAGCCATAGATAGATATAGATATAGATCAGACAAAGGTAGATAGATATCCAAAGAAAGAGCCAGAGCATAGTGGTTTGAGTGTTGGATGTGGACTCTGGAAGGGCACTGGAAGTCTAGGGTTTGGATCTCACTTAGCTATGGAAACCCACTGGGTACCTTGGACAAGTTACACATTCTCAGCCTCAGAGGAAGGCAATGGCAAACCCCCTCTGAATATGTTCACCTTCTGGTTACGATAAGTCAAAAATGACTCAAAGGCACAAAAAACATATTCCCCCCCTAAAAGAATGACACAGCTAGCTAGCCAGCCACAGCCTTTTAAATGTTTTCCCTGTACACTACTTACACTTTGCAAGTGTGGTTTTAAGACTTTTAACATTTTCTATAGCCTATAGAAAGAAAAGGAGTGTGGAAAGATTTTTCTTTTGTTTTTAGTGCTTGGATCACAGAAACAATCTCAGTTTTCATGAGTGTCTGAAACATTAACGCCTCATATTTCTCAAGGGTTGTTTTTTCCTCTTTTCTTTTTCTTAAACATACAATGTAGAAGAATGTTCAAATCTCTCTATCCCCCTCACCCTAGCCATTCAAACCAAGTCAGTGTAATTGGATTTTGCACTTTGATTCGCAAGGTAGGGTCCCCCTGCAATCCAATATCTTTGGTGGACAAGGGGGTTGGATGGGGGGGGGGAATCCAATGTCCTCGCAAGCAAAGCAACAAGAACAACCACCACCACAACTAACATGGAAGGCCAAACATTTTTCAAGGTATTGGGTCTCCACATTCTTCAGCAAAGGGACCCCCTGATTTCAATGTACCCTGAAAAGGGTGATTAATATAAAGTGAGTGGAGTCTGTTTCTTTAAGACAAGCTCATAAATCGTGAAGATCACCACTTCTTTTCAAAAGGCTCTCCACGGTCTGAGTTTCCCTTCTGGGTCAGTAAAGGCATTGAAGTTTTAATGGCATGCCATGGCAGATTACACGATACAGCTGTCCCGGCACCGTGAAAATTAAGTTATGCCCCGTGTCAGCAAGGGTTTTTCCCCCCTTTACTTTCCCTCCCTCCCCCCTCTCCCTCTTTCTATCTCTTTTTCTTTCTTCCCTCTCTCCCCCTTCTCCATTCCCTTTTCTACTGGGAAGTGCACATCCGAGGAGGAGTTTGAGAGCCTAGCGGGAGCTGTTCCTTGCTGCTGTTGCTGTCAGACCTCAGCTATTGAATATGAGTAAATGGAGCTGATGGGGCCTTAGTGTAGAATCATCAAAATGGAGGCTTTTGTTCTTTCTCCCTCAGCAAGGCCAGGACACAAAAATCACTCTTCTGCCTCCTTTAAAGAGCACCCCTGGTATGCTGCCTCCTGGTTCTCCCCCTCCTTTTCTCTCTCACAGATGAAATCACTGACCGCTCCAGCTAATTTATCTTCAAGCCCTGGGTCTTGGTTACAGAAACAAAGAACTGAAGGAGATTGTGAGATTCATAATGAAATTTCACTGAGATCCATCTCAATCTTAAAATGATTTAAGTTTCTAGACTCATTACAGGTTTTGCTCATATCCACAGAGCTTCAAGGGCTCACTCTAACTCTAACACATTTGCATTCCTTCAGGGAGCATGGTATGTCAGTTTTCCTGGAAGTAAGCTCATGTAGGCTGCATCCGCACTGCAGAAGCCATGGCTCAGTGTTATGGAATTCTGGGAAATGTAGTTTGTTGGGACACCAGAGCTTTGCTCATGATAGTTGTTGTTCTTGTTGCTTTGATTACGATGACATTTGATTTTGCATCCAACTCCCTTGTCCATTGAAAATATTGGATTGCAGGGGAATCCTACCTTGTGAATCAAATCTCTGGCGCTGCAGCAAATTGAGCTGTGGCAGTTAAAGTGATGTCATACTGGATTATTTCTGCAATGGGGATGCAGCCTAAGACTTGCTTCTGAAGAGAAAGGTACAGCCATTCTGAATATTTGTTGTTGTGTGCCTTCAAGTAATTGCCAACTTAGGGCAGCCCTAAGGCAAACCTATGATGGGGTTTTCTTGGCAAGTTTCTTCAGAGTGGATTTGCCATTGCCACCCTCTGAGGTAGAGAGTGTGTGACTTGCCTAAGGTCACCCAGTGGGTTTACATGGCTGAGGCAGGATTCGAACCCTGGTCTCTGGAGTCATAGTCCAAGATTCAAACCACTACACGACACTGGCTCCCTTTTCTGATATAGTATGACATAATTATAAGCATACTTAGAATGATATCATACACCACAATATAATTGCAAGTATAGACACATGGGAGCTGAAGGTAAAAGACAAAGTGTATATGTTCTTGGCTCATGATTTTGTCCTCCATCACATCCAGTAGGGGGTTTTTGTGCAATTTGCTCCCACCCTTTGCAATAAATTTGTTCCTCTGCACTTCTCACCCATCTCTTGAACCTTTCTTTCTTCCTATATGATTTTAGAATCAGCAGTCTTGCATTTGACCACTTCTGTCCATATCTTCACACAATGTGCATGTACAGAAGA